CATAGTTACTATAGGCATGCACACGCATAAGACTTTTATATACATATATATGGAGCAAATAAGCCCTTGATGAAATTTTGGTGGCATATCCATCCCAAAACTTATAAATAGCAGCAAATCTCCCCAAAGTGATAGAAATTATTAGTTTATATTCGTCAATGTATAATTTATGTGATGTGGTATGATAGGCTAACTAAGGTCAGTCAACGATTTCCATCAACTTTGGGGAGAATTGCTGTTGTTTGTAAATTGTTAGGTGGATTTGCCACCAAACTTTCATTGGGGACTTACTTGCTAGTAAAAATTACTTTAAGGGGCTTATTTACCTATTACTCCAATAGAAATTAGCAGTTTTAGTTGGAACTTTTGTATTAGAAAATAATCAATGCATCCTCAAGGCCTCTCTTTTATATTAGAAAAGTTCCATGCGGATTTTTGGCAACTATGCAGTATGATCAATGCTATGCTGCTAAGTAAATCATGAACATGATATGATTAACATAATCAATTCAGCTTCAAATTTTTGTGAATCTAGTAGGTTATCATAGAAACAAATTACAAATTTGTCAACTTTCCAACACTACTGTTCCTTTTCTCAAATTTGTATTTTTTTTGTTTTCAATTATTATCTGTGTTACGTTACATTACATTACATGATTATTAAAGTTTCAACGTTACATTACATTACATGATTATTAAAGTTTCAATCTTCAATTAATTACAGGTTTATAGGGGAACTCTTCCCAATGGAGAGCTGGTTGCGATCAAACGAGCCCAGCAAGGATCAATGCAGGGTGGGCAAGAATTCAAAACAGAGATTGAACTTCTCTCTAGAGTCCACCATAAGAATGTTGTCGGTTTATTAGGATTTTGTTTTGAGCGAGGTGAACAAATGCTAATATATGAATATATTCCAAATGGCTCATTGTATGAAACTCTATCAGGTATGTTCCTCCATTTATTCCATTTTTGACCCAATATAAATTACTTAACGAGTTATGTAGCTAGATAGTATTTTTATGATTTATATATACTATTGTTGAAAGAGCAAAAAACAACTCAAAAGGCTTTGTAAATATAACATAATTTTTACTTCTTTCTTTGCAACTGTCCAATGATTCTATTAGTTATTTTACCCCTAGTATTTTTTTCCATCTATTAACTGCAGTCTCGCTGCAATATCTATAATATCCATGACAAATGAATTTAAGTTACACCCTTCACATTTCTTTCATAACAAGCTAGCCTTACATTTAGCAAAACCTCCATTTAATTTGCTTCATTGGAAAGTTTCATACTATGTGCAGGAAAGTCAGGAATCAGACTGGATTGGACCAGGCGACTCAAAGTAGCCCTTGGTGCAGCTAAAGGCCTGGCATATTTGCATGAACTTGCCAATCCTCCCATCATACATAGGGACATTAAATCGACTAACATATTATTGGATCAGCGCCTCACTGCTAAAGTTGCTGATTTTGGTCTTTGCAAACTTATAAGTGACAGTGAAAAAGGTCATGTTACCACTCAAGTCAAAGGGACAATGGTGAGTGCTTTTATACACCCACTTCAGTTGGATAGTAAGGTTTAATTAGTTTAGTGACACGATTCTTTACTGTGCTAGGAGAATTTGATCATGCTTGTGGTTTTTGTTATTGGTGCAGGGTTACTTAGATCCTGAATATTATATGACCCAGCAGCTAACTGAGAAGAGTGATGTTTATAGTTTTGGGGTGCTTTTGTTGGAGATGATAACTGGAAGAAGGCCAATAGAGCGAGGGAAGTATATTGTAAAAGAGGTGAGAATGGCAATGGATAAGACAAAAGACTTGTATAGTCTTCGTCAGATTCTTGACCCAGCCATTGCGGATGCAAGCCTGAAAGGATTAGAAAAGTTTGTGGACCTAGCAATGAACTGTGTGGAAGATTCAGGAGTTGACAGGCCTACAATGGGTGATGTGGTAAAAGAGATTGAAAACATCATGCAGATTGCCGGGATAAATCCCAATGTTGAGTCAGCCACAAGTTCGTCAAGTTATGAGGTGGCATCCAAGGGAAGTACCCTCCATCCATACAGCGATGAGTCCTTTGCTTCTAGTGGTACATTTCTAGTTTCAAAAGTTTGAACATATGTTGAGTTTGGTTTTAGTTTAGTTTTTGGAGAATTGAACAACTTCTGTGTCTAGCATTCAATTTGACACGAGGACATATATATGTATATATAGATATGTGTTTTGTATTGGTTTTCTTTCATTTGCTCTTGATAGAAGATTGAAAATTATTGTCATTGTGTAGAAACAGGTACAATGCTTTTGGAGCTTTATGTTTCCTAATTTTATTTTTGGTGTTTAAGTATTATTAGATTGTCATAACCATATCAACAAAGAACTATTTCTTTTATTATAAAATAATTCTTCTTTTTTTTTTAACTCAAAATTTAATCTAATTAATTATATTATTGTAAAATAGATAAAAGTTTCTCTTATTTTAACTTTAATTATTTATCTTATTATTACATTTATTAAGGACAATAATAGAAGTATAAACATAATAAGTTTTTTGTAAATTGTTAAGAGTTTGTCATTTTATTGTTTAAATTATAAAATGAAAATTTTTAAATAAAAGAGTAGTTTAATACGAGGGGCTATCTTTTATTAAAAAATTAATATTTTATAATATAAAATAATTTGAATTCTAAAATAGTTTTTTAAATTATTCATCTATATTTAATGAAAAGGATAGGGATATCAGGCAAACAGAACCGAAGAGAAGGGAGGGTTTTGGTTTGGGAGATCGTCTCATCTGTTCTGTTATCAAAAAAAAAAAAAAAAAATCTGAAATTATTTACAATGGTATTGTATTTATTTAAATCCAATTTCATTAATTCCTTCATTTCATCCTTAATCCTTAATCGTCGTCCCAAGCTTTGATTGCTCGGATGATAATTTCAGGAGGATGAGAAGAAGCAGAAGCAGAAGCAGAAGCTGTATTCCTACTGGAGAACCTCCTGCTCCTGCTCCTGCCGAGTTCTAATTGCCCTTAATTTGAAAGGTAAAAAGGTGGTTGGCATTTGGAAACTTGAATTCGTCTCTTCTATATATTTTTACAAATTATATTATGTTATATTATATTTTGCAAATTACAGGACTTAAATAAGAATATATACCCGTCCAGCCAACCCGTAATGCGTAGTTTAAGATAGCATATCTTGGATTATAAACTCAGGACTTACTTTTCCTCTCAAACCAAGTCCCCAATTTTTTTCTTCAAAAAATACGAATATATACCCGCTAACCTCCTCAAAGGGGAGCAATTCAGTCCTGGTTAGTTAAATAAATATATTTGATTTCTAATCATACCATCATATTTACCCTATTTCTCAATTTTCATTTTCGGGCAATCCGTAGAATTCACTGAGCTCAATCCGATTGGATATGTGCCGGTGCTGGTTGACGGTGATGTTGTGGTGTCCGACAAGTTTTGCTATTTTGATGGTCAGTCAGTTAGCTCTTCCTCTCCGGTCTCCAGTCACCACTCCGCTCCGCTCTTTTTCTCTTATAATAACTGTTTCATTTTTTGTTTTATAATAATATTTGTTTTTCTGAAATCTAATTGGGCAATTGAAGTATCTGGAAGAGAAGTACCCTGAGCCTCCACTCTTGCCATCTAATCTTAATAAAAGAGCATTCAATAATCAGGTGAATAAATTATTCATTCTTCTATCTATCTATTTATTACTATATATATATTGTTCCTTTATTAATAATGG